TTAATACACATTCAGATGATTGATTTAATGTGATTTGATTTGAAAAAATGAAAATTAAAAGAAATAATTTTATAATAATATCATCTAGTTGAAATATATCAATGATATCATTTCGTAGTTGTTTCATTTCAATATGAAATTGTTTATTTAATGTTTTGTTCCAATCTTTGCCAGAAAAATGTGGATCTTTTGTATTTGGTTCATAATAAAGATCTGTTCTTGGATCATAAGTAAATATTAAATGAAAAAAACAAAGTGTTAATAAATTTAATTTAATTAAATAAGCTTGATCTTCTGGTTTTAGTTGTTGGAATTCATTGATTTGTTTTATATAACTAATAAGACGCATTGATGTTATATGAATTGGCATATGAAATAATTCTAATGTTGATTTAATTGATTGTGTTGAAGGATAAGATGATATACCAGTTATTTCATTTAATTTTACAGCTTCTGTAAAATAATCTTGAATTAATCGAATTCTTAACCATTCAAATTCATTTAAATATGATTGATTATTAGATAATAATGGTACATCTAAAGATCGATGATCGTCAATTTTTGACTAAAAACAAATATGACGAGAAAAAATGAATTTGAAAAAAAGATAAAAATAAAACTTTACGTGATTTTTATTCGATCGTTGATCATTTTGAATCTGTTTGAAACGACGATTTTCTTCAATTTTAGCACTTTTCTGTTCTCTTCTAGACATAAATGTTATGATTTAAAATACGAAATTATTTTTATTTAAGTTCAACGTGACTCAATCTGATATTTATACCTATACTGCAAGTTAGACTATCGTAATTGACATTTAGTGATAAACTGTGTGATAAATAATGATTTTCGAGTAATTTTTTTAGCACAGTACCTTCAGAAAGATGCACACTCTCGAACGTTAATCTTTAACTTATATCTTAATTAATACAAACGAAGGATCAGTTTTTTTGTTTTCTAGTATATCGAATGCAGGAAATCAAGGTCATGGACGTGCCGAGGTATCCATGTCAGGGGGGCGAAGGAGGTGCACAATGGATTTTGATCATATTTTTATTCGTTCAAAGTA